TCCCTCTGCCCCAGTCACTCACTTATCCACCCAGCATGGCTGCAGCCCTGGCCACAGCCGGACATCAAACTCAAGAAGACGAAGAGCCACCGCCTCGAACAAGGAACACAGAATATTGAATTAATTCATTTCACCAGCCCTATATGCTCCTGGCAAAAACAAAGACAGTGTGTGGGTTGGATTTTGCATTTACTCATAAAGTTTAAGGTGTTGGCTATAAGAGCGACTGTCAGAAGGTGATTGCAGCATAACCCATGAGAATAAAGGGGGGAGACTCCGGAGGAAAAACTCAATCTCACACCTACTAAATTTTCATATCTATTTCAAGTATAAATGGATTCTAAAATTTTGTGGCTTAAGAAAAAAGTTCCGTGAATGCAGCAGGAACTGTGATGCCGAGACATTTCATTGTGGAGATCTGGAAGCAGATCGGATTTTGGAGCTGACCAGGGCATGTTTATGATCACAGTCAAAATCAAACATCACAGACCGGATTATCAGCCAGGAGCGGCACCCCTGAAGGTCCCTCCCTTCTGCCACACGGGCATCTTTGCCTAGACCTCAAGTTCTCTACCCAGGCTCTCTCTTCTGCCTTTGCCTTCCTACCTCAGGAAGGCCCACACAATAATTGAAAAAAACTGAGATTTTATAATACTTTTCAAGGATTACCAAGTCAATTACTGAGAGGGAGAAAAATAAAAAGAGAATAGTTGAGCATCGCATGCTAGGGCACATTCAATTCAAACAGCTCCCAGGGAGTTAAAATTCTCTCTATATGGTGAACAGTGTGTGCTTACAAGTCACTGGCAAGCCCACGGCAGTTTAAGGTAATATTTTGGTCAGCAGGTGTAGACCCCAAGTGAACAGTGGTTTAAGACCTGGATTGCGAGAGGCAGGCATGTGCTGAAATTAGAAAAGCATTCTCGGGCTATTATTTAACATTCTACATATGTGAGATACAGAATGAAAGAATGAGAATTATCTTAAAATCCCTGCTAAAGCAGGGCCTGCTTTCTCAAGGCAATCTCAAGCTTTAGTAGTTCAGACAGATTCTCTAGCTGACAATTAATATTAATGGGTAGATTTCACAATGTGGCATTATCACACGGGAGATGGGTGGGCACACCATCTGGGTTTTGGCAGGTATTAGATGTAATCAAAGGGATTACTTGGCTCAGGGAGAAATAGAAAACCTTGGGTTTGTTTAGTCTCTTTCCTCTTTTGTTTGGACGCAGCTCTAGGTGTGCTTAACTATTTTCCCCTGTTCCTTATCTGTGGTCAGGAACATCTCCAGGGGGGAAAAAAACAAAAACAAAAAGGGACCAACATCCAGCAAAGATAGCTTGGACATGGAATCATGGCCCATTTTCTCTTCTCACTTAAAATTCCCCAAATATTTATCAAATGCCTACAATGGGCAAGGAGCCCTACCAGGACACCTCAGTTAGCTTCCGCAAAAACAAGATGTTAGCGTTCACAGGTCTATTTCTGGATATTTTAGAATCAGTAAAAGAGTATGCTGAACCTACAAGGATAATTCAGGATCTCTTGGTCTGTCTTTGCCCCTTTCCCACCACCAATTACTTCCACCACCACCGCCACACACACACACACACACACACACACACACACACACCTCATTTAGAAGATCAAAAGGGAACATCCACCCCAGATTTTAGAATTGGATTGTTTATTGGAAACATTCAATACATTAGACCAGAGAACCTAAAGAAGGTTTATTTGGAAGTTGTTGATTGGTTTACACTCTTGGAGGAGACGGGTGATTAGGCAGGCAGTCTTGCGGTACCAGAACCCTGGTGATTGCTGCTACAGGTAACTTGTGAGTTTTACACTCAACTTTTGCTCTGCTGATGAGTAAGAATTTGGCTTGCTACCCAAGATGTTTGAACCCATGAGAAACCAACTTCTAAAGCCCCAGTTTCCCTACTCAGGACTGTCTTGCATCCCACAGACGCACACCCCTGGCACACTATCATACTGTTTTTGTGTATGCTTTGCATGCCCAGGGAAAAGAGCAGCAACATGACCCCAGGCTGGACTGTCAAGCTGATGCAGGTATACGTGCTCCCCGTTCCTCGTGAGCACACAGGAAGATCCCAAGTTCTGTCAGGTGGTTTCTGGGTCTGCTTATCTTGTACCAAGAACCCAGCGTGTGGCATGTGTGCATGGCCACTTAATAGATGGCGGTGACTGTGGCCCCAAATTCTCTAAAGATAGATCTAAGATGGCACAGTCCCATTTGCAAGACTAGCAAGACGTTATAAGGACCTGTTTCCTCTTCACCTTTGTTCCCATGCTACCTTACCCCACATGCAGGGCACCCCCTATTCATCTCCCCAAACAGCCAAAATAAACTCAGCCAAGACCGCTTTTTCTCTCCAAGCCTCCCACCTCCCTGCCTCGTCCATGCACCTTTTCAGGTGCAATAGGCACATGCTCTATGCTTTATGTGAATCTTCATAAAATTTTACTGTTGACAACGTCACTACGTATTCAACTGTCCAGATCAACTTGAGCCCTTAAAGCTTCAGGGCCCGATACAATAGCCACTAGTCACATGTGGCTACTTAAATTCAAGTTTATTAAAATTAAGTACAATTAAAAACTCTTTTCTTCAGCCACATTTCAAGGGTTCAATAGTCACATGTGGCTAGTAGCTACCATATTAGACAGTGAGGACACAAAACATTTTCCATCATTACAAAGTTCCTCTGGACTGCGGGACTAGAGGGTGTGAGTACAGGAGAGGAGAGAATCCCTGGACCCCTGCAGAGACGCGCGTGGGAGAGACGGGCCCGGGTGCTCACTAGTTTCCTGTCCACCTAAATGTCAGTGTCACCTCTGCACACGGGACACCCAGGCCCTACAGCCTGTCGACGGCGGAGTCAGGGCAGTGGTGAGAAACCTCGGCAGCGCAGAACTCTGGGGCAAAGCCTTTGCCAAGGAGTGGAAGGAAGGAAAGCCTCCTGGGCAGGCGGTCCCACCCGGGCGCTCCCAGCCTCCCGTCCCCAACCCCCGCTTGCGCTCCGGGGTGTGCGAGCCGGGGCGGGAGCCGGAGGGGATGCCCGCCCGGCGCCGCCTGCGCCCCGCGTCCTCTCGCCTTGTCCTCTAGCACAAGGGCGGGCAGCGCAGGACAAAGGCTCGGGCGGCAGCTGCCCAGTTCGGCGCGCAGGGGCGGCCGCGGCCACCCGGGGCGCCAGACGCCTCCGCCGCCCGGCGGGGGAGGCCCGGCGCCCGCCTTTGTCTGCGCCGCCGCCGCGCGCCGGGTCCGCAGGAAGCGGGCGCCATCGTGCGGCCCGAGAGGGACACTGCGCCGCCGGAGGCCTGCGCCGCGGAGCGCCTCGCTGGACCCGATCTTCTTCGCGGGGACGTCGTGTCGTCGCCGCGGCGACTGCTTTTACGGCTGCGGTGCGTTCTGTTATGTATACTGTGTGTTATGTAAACATATAACCACTTCTAATAAAGGCAACCTAGCCAATGCCTGCAGAAAAAGTAGAAGGAAGTGGACATACTTGTCTATGTATAATGCATATAAAAATACCCATATAGCCACCATCAAGAATATTTAATGACGCATTTGCTTGCATATGCGTGGGTTATCTCTGGAATGTCACAAAAGAAAGTAGCTACAGTACTTGCCTTGGCGACCTAAGGGAACAGTGCGGCTAGGGGTAGGAGGGTGTCTCAAATCTTTTTGACTTTTGTATCATGTGCACATATTACCTGCTCAAAATTAAAGCATTTAATAATTCAGAGATATATTTAATAAAAATCTGCTTGTGGTATGAACCATGCACAAATGTTGCTAGAGCCAACGATGAGTAAATAAACATGCCATGTCCCTGCCCTCTGGGGACCCTGAGTACATGGACAACCGACAAGTCACAGAAAGGGAATTAAACCATCTTTCGAATGAAGCTTGGACAAGTAGAGGGTTTTCTAGTTTGAATGACCCTGCTCAGCGGGTGAGGCTCTTGTGTTCTTAGTGAGGATGGAAAATGTGTTGTCTTCACTGTGTTTACCAAGCTCCTCTTACCATGGAGTAAACTCCTTATCATTTTTGCCTCAGAAAATGCTCACGCAGGGAAGCAGAAAAGGAGCATTTACCTTCTGGCTTATTTTAGAAGCTACAAGTAGAGTTGAAGCTCTCAGAAGTGACACTCCATCTCCTTCCAACCCAGTCTTCTCTCCTAAACATACAATCTTGTCTTCTGGCATTCCAACATGTTCAACCTAGAGCCACTTAAGAAGTTAGAATTGGGTGGGTTACATTTAAGCTACTTCCAATCTCCAGCGTCTTGATTCTGTGACATATCTGCAGAACTGGGCCTTGTAAGGTGGGTTGTACATGGCCCCTGGGAGCATTAAATGTGGTCAAGGAGCCAAGACCAATGCACTGGACCAGTAGAGCCCCTCTAGGCAGGGACCACATCTTCCTCCTCTTGGTGACCCTCAGTGCCCGGCAGAGTGCCTGGCGCTGTATTGGATTGAATTGTAAACTTATGATTTATTTACCCTGGAAGTGTTCTGCAGAGTCACGGGAGATGATGAGGCAGGAAGATCAGCACTCCTGCAGAGGGGCTGGAAAGAGTGTGGGCAGCAGGGTTGGCTGTAGGGGCTGAAAGAGTCTTTCCTGACCATAAAGAAGACTTCATATGCACGCTAAGTGGGAACAGCTAGAGTCTGACAGCAGGGAGAGTATAGGGTCGGAAAAGCCTCACCCAGGAGGAGAGAATTCAACTGGGCTGGGAAGGCATGGCCTTCAGCTGAAAAGGGAATGTGTGTATACACACACATGTGCAGGCTGTATGTGAACGTGCATGTGTATGTGTGTGGCTGGGTCTTGTGCAGTGAGCATTTGGGAACCCTAGTTCACCCACCTGCTTGAAGCAGAGGGTCTGACTTGGTTAGCAGGTGAGCAAGAGCTACTTGAGTTACACTCTCTCATCTTTTTCTTTTTGCCATTCCACAGACTCAAGTTCCAAAAATGCAAGACCTAACCCCAATCCCTACCCTGGATCTCTGACAAATCTCTGAAGCTTGGGTAAGAGGGGCTTGGCAAAGCAGCAAGAAAAATGACCAGCATTTCCTTGGCAGTACCGGTAGGCAGCACAGGTGTATCCAAAAATTGCATGAGGCATGAGGTGGGTTTTTGCCCTGCATTCTCCTTAGAACTCAGGGTCAGTGCATCCTTCCATGTTCCCTGCCCCTGCCATGAGTTCTCTCTTGGACCTACCTTGATCGACCAGGGTCCTACTTCTTAAGGGGCAGACAAAAGGAATTAGTAACAGCAAGGAGTCCATTTCCTGGGGAAATATACTCAGCCAACTGGAATGTACTTATGATCTAAGCCACCCACTTGGGAAAGGAGATGAAGTCAACTTGCAGCGAATTCCCACGCAGCGTCCATTTACTGAGTCCCGCTCTGTGTCCCGCACTTTCCAGCAGGTGTCACCTTCCATTTGGTTTTATTGGGATGCCTGTGACCTAATGAGGGTGGTGAGGAACCCCACTCTCTCCATAACTCCAGAAAAGACAGCAGGTCGGCAGCACAATCAGTGTTTGGATAGACAGTGTCCTTGGCCATCACTGTCAGTCAGATCTTCAGCCTTGGTAAGTGATTAGAGCTTCTTGCCTCAGTTGAGGCGTATTGGCCATGTCAGGAGCCAGAGATATCCTCCGGTTCCTTAACCACCCCCACACCACCTGCCCTTCTCTCCCCTCGAAAAAGAAGATTGCTGTCATTGGCTCCTTGAGGAAGACTTTGGCCTGGCTTGTGCCTTCCTGGTGGGGAAGCCCTTTGCCCTCTCCATGGGGGATCCATGAAGCTTCTAAGTCTTGCCTTGAGCTCCCCCTGGGCTCCTGGCTCCTGGGAGGCAGAGGTTGGTGAGAATTAATTGTGAAGTGCATTGAGAGGCACAAATGGAAACCAGTCCCGCGGCGGAGAGATTATTACTGTTGGCAATTTGGGTTTTCTGAAATAGCTCTTAGGATATGACTGTGGCAGCCCAAACCCCAGAGGTGAGCTCAAGGCTGATAGATTTTCAGACTGGCCCCATTTTGCTCCAGCCTCCAGCTCCCCCTCCCTCCAGGGCGGGGGTGAGCCAGGCAGGGTGGGGCCCAGGCTGGGGAGCGCCATCCCCACGAAGGCTGCCGATGGGAGGGCGGCTGAAGGCTGACCCCGCGTTCTTGAGAGAGGGTCCCCAGACTTCCCGGCATAATTTCCTTCTCACTTCACTGTTCCCTTCCCTGTCTGAGATGGCAGGTGACCTAAGAGGGAGCGGTGTGCAAATTGATTTGGAGGCGATCAATGGCTCGGGGCGCGGCCCCGGCTCACTGCCGTGTCACTGATCCTCTCCAAATCGATTCACACACCATTCCTCCTCAGCACACCTGCCACGTCAGATGGAGCGGGACGCGTGAAGTGCGAAGAAAATTACGTGTTCGTTAGGCCGCCGCTGCCTCCGCCGCCGCCGCCCCTTGTCCCCCCACTCCCCGCCGCGTGGCAGCCCGCCGCGGCCTGCGGAAGCGCGGAGCCCGTCCCCACGCGCGTGGGCAGGGCCCCAGAGGCATGGAGCTGCCAGGGTCTTTGCACGGGCACCACCACTCTGAGAGCCTCTAACCCAGGCGACCGAGAGCTTGGCCCTCTCCGGAACACAGGGCTTCTGAGGCATTTGCCTAGAGCTTTTTATTGTTTATCTCTTTAAAGACCCTTGGGGACCAACTTATAAACAGCCAGCTTACTTGGTGGGCCCAGAGTCACTCAGTATTTGAGCTCAGTTCATATGAATTAATCCACCCGTCCACCCATGTACCCACCCTGTCATTGGGCTCTGTGGAACCCCCACCCTGAGTCCAGCACGGGCCAGAGATCAGGCCTGTCCTCAACATTGGGAATTAGGAGCAAGACGCTCTACTTTGGAGAAGATAGAATATGCTCATGGGGGCACCTAGCAATAGCTCAAACCAACATAAAGGGAGCCATTAAAATCACAGAAAGAGTGCTTTAGCTATGTACGGCAGAACTTACTGCAGTTCTGTCAGTCCACGAACAGTTTGTTAGTAGTCCTGCTAGTGGCTAAGAAGCTGGCTCCAGAATGTAAACAGACCACGTCCCCAAGCACAATTTTTTCACAGTAAGACTTTCTCAATGAAGGAAGCAACACATTTTACATTCTGGTGCAAATAGTTTCTGGACTGGCACTTTGAGTAAGAACCAACTTATCCATTGGTCACAGCAGGCACAGTGTCTAAGGCCCAAGATACTTCTAGGGATTGCTGTAGGATAAATAATCCCCAGTCCCCACCAATTCTACATTCTAATTCCCAGAAACCGTGGTCATCACGTGGTGAAAGGGACTTTTCGGATGTGATTAAATTAGGGATCTTGAGTTGGGGAAATGACCTTGGATAATACGAGTGGGCCCAAAATAATCACAAGGGTCCTTTTACAAGAGAAAGGCAGGAGGGAGCAGAGAAAGAAATGTGATAACGGAAGCAGAGTTCAGAAGGTCAGAGAGAAACTGGAAGATGTTAATCTGCTGGCTTTGAAGATGGAAGGAGGGGCCACTGGCAAAGGAATGCGAGAATCCTCTAGAAGATCAAAAAGGCAGGCACATTCTCTCTTTGGGCCTCCAGGAGCCTGACCTGCCAACATGTTGACTTCAGCGCAGTGAGACTGATTTTGGACTTCTGATCTCCAGAACTGTAAGACCATAAATTTATGTTCTTTGAAGCTGCGAAGTTTGTAGTCATTTGTTACAGCAGTAATAGGAAACTAACACAGGGGCTCACAAAAATGTTTTACTTTCTTTTCAGAAGAGAAAAACTGAATTTTTAGGTCAAAGAAAATGTTCTAACATGTAATCCTGATATATTCCTCTTTATACCAACGCAGCTTTAAAATAGAATTTTTAATATTTTTATGGAGGAAGAGGCCCACAGGGGCAAAAGTGCCAAGGGTCCACAAAAGTCACAATACAACCTTGCCTTGAGCAGCCATGATCATGAGGAATCCCCTCCGTTAGCCATTCTAGAAGGACGAGAAAGCACAGATCTGATGTGGAACTGAACAATCTGTTTGACTAACAATCTCTGAGACAGCCATTCTGTCAATACTTCAAAAACCAGTATTTTAAAACAGAAGTTTAAGTGTGCTGAATTCTTTTGCCAAAATGCATCCAAGTGGCTTATTTATTGTAAGGGAGGCCAGGTCTACCACCTTCTGCCTCATATGGCCTTCAGTTACATAGGAATGGCTTCCCTCAAATTTACTGGTGTTTCTCCATTTATAAGTGAGGATTCATTTTGTTTGAAAAGCTCCCTGGGAGATCTCTGGATGACTTGGAAGCTAAATAAACTAAAAGTTTTTTCAAAAATTTTTTGATCCTGCTTTTGCCTGCTCTTCAGCCACTGCAATCAAGGATCTCCCAGCAGCAGAGAAGCAAAGTGACTCCTCTCAGCAAACTCCTTGACTTAATGTCCAGGTGTGACACATCCCTTTGCCAAGAGAAAATAAGAGAGAATGCTTCCAGTAAGCAGTGGCATCTCCTCTCATTTGTAAAGGAGAGTGTGAGCCTGAAAACAGTGGCCAACTGTGTTAGCCCAAAATGCAAGAATTTCAGGCCAACTGCAGTCAAGTGGGTTATTCTTAGATATGCAGAAGAGGCTGAGGGGTCTTTGTAGGTTGTTGGGAAATGGTTAGGGATTTGTCACTTTTAAATGGCTCTTGGGATTGTTTGGAGATGAACAAGCCCCTGCAGCTCCCATTCAGCCCAGACACCTCAATTCCATCTGACCTTCATGGCCCTTCTCAAATTTCAACTAGTTTCTGAGATCTTCCCCAATAACTCAGGAATCAATTCAGATTAGTCCTTCATACTCCTGATCACCCATAATCCCTTTTAAGAGTACTGGATTTATACTTGGATGACATCTTAAGTGACACTTAGATGTTACCTTTGCAGAGCCCTATTGCCACAGTCTTCATCCCACTTGGATTTTCAGAGGTATTTGAGGTGGTTGACCACTTCCTCCTCCTTTTGTTTCTAGACTTCCGTGGCACCACATTTGCCTAGTTTTTCATTTCACAGGAATACATACCATAATAAAAAGTCTCCCACCAGAGAAAAGTTCAGGACCTGATGGCTTCACTGCTGAATCTACCAAACTAATAACAATTCTACTCAAACTCTTCAAAAAAATTGAAAATACTTCCAAATTCATTCTATGAGGCCAGCATTACCCTAATACCAAAACCAGACAAGGACACAACAAAAAAACCAAAACTATAGGCCAGTATCACTGATGAATATAAATGCAAAAATCCTCAACAAAATACTAGCAAACCAAATTCAACAGCACATTAAAAAGATCATTCACTATGATCAAGTAGGATTTATCCCAGGAATGCAAGGATGGTTTGGCATACACAAATCAATAAGCATAATACATCACATTAACAGAACAAAGAACAAAAACCATGGAAGCATTTAAATAGATGCTGAGAAGGCATTCAGTAAAATTCAACATCCCTTCATAATAAAAACTCTTAAAAATTTGGGTATAGAAGGAGCATACCTCAAAATAATAAAAGCTATATATGACAAAACCACAGCTAACATTGTACTGAATGAGGAAAAATTGAAAGCCTTTCCTCTAAGATCTGGAATAAAAAAAGGATTTACCACTTTTTTTCAACATAATACTGGAAGTCTTGGCCAGAATAATTAGGCAAGAGAAAAATATAAAGGGAGTTGGAAAGGAAAAATTCAAATTAGCCTTGTTCACAGATGACATGATCTTAGAAAAACTAAAGAATCTACAAAAAACTGATCAGTTAAAACTGATAAATTCAGTAAAGTTGCAGACTACAAAACCAACATACAAAAATCAGTAGCATTCATATACACCAACAATGAACAATCTGGAAAGCAATCTCATCACAATAGTTACAAAAATTATAAAATACAATACCTAAGAATCAATTTAACCAAAGAAGTGAAAAATCTATACAAGGAAAACTACAAAACACTGAGGAAAGAAATTGAAGCAGACACAAAAAATTGGAATCAGCCGGGCGTGGTGGCTCACGCCTGTAATCCTAGCTCTCTGGGAGGCTGAGGCGGGCGGATCGCTTGAGGTCAGGAGTTCGAAACCAGCCTGAGCAAGAGCGAGACCCCGTCTCCACTATAAATAGAAAGAAATTCATTGGCCAACTAATATATATAGAAAAAATTAGCCAGGCATGGTGGCACATGCCTGTAGTCCCAGCTACTTGGGAGGCTGAGGCAGCAGGATTGCTTGAGCCTAGGAGATTGAGGTTGCTGTGAGCTAGGCTGACGCCAGGGCACTCACTCTAGCCTGGGCAACAAAGCGAGACTCTGGCTCAAAAAAAAAAAAAAAAATTGGAATCATATCCCATATTCAAGGATCAGAAGAATTACTATTATTAAAATATCCATACTACCCAAAGTGATCTACAGATTCAATGCAATCACTACCAAAATATCAATGACATTCTTCACAGAAATAGGAAAAAAATCCTAAAATTTATGTGGAACCACAAAAGACCACAAATAGCCAAAGCAATCCTGAACAAAAAGAACAAATCT